ATTAAACAAAAAATTCCTAATATGTGATAAATATATGTAAACAGATTTATTATAAACTTACCTAATATTTCTAAATTTTGAACAAAATACTAACAACTTTGAAAAACTTCGCAAAAGACTTTGAACAACTTCGAAAAGCGATTTTGAATAAGTGTTAGCAAATTTTCACTTACTGATATGATGAGAAAGACGAGAAAGAATTGAACTATTTAGTGTTCAAAATCTAAACAAAATACATAAAAGTTACATATGTATGTTATAAACATATATGAACAGATATGTTATAAAATTACCTATATATTTGTTAGTAGAGCTGAACAGATCTGTTAGAAACTTACCTATTTTTCAAACCCTACACAAAATACATAGAAGTTTGAAAATATTCGACAAATGTCATCTTCTCTTCGAAAAATGATTTCGAAAACATCTAGATAATTTCAAATTATGTATAAAATATAATATATCTTTGAAGTTTATTCAAAAAGAATTTTGAAAAACGACACAGATCATTGAAAATAATAAAAAATAAAAACTATGTTTAACAAAAAATATTTCAGCTCTTCATAAATTTGTAATATTATCGCCTGATTTTGACCGACCTGTTAAGATTTAGCAACACAAATTAAGAAATCGGGATGAATATTTATTTTTTGATCACTACTGTTGGCCACAAAAACAACATTTCTCAGATTTTTTTTTTTAATTTTTTAGCCTTTAGTGGGAGAAAATCTCCGGTAAAACATTTATTTTGTATTAAATCTCGCCGAGTTTGTCGTAAGATCGGGTTAAGGATTAGGGTTTCAGACAGAGTGAATAACGAAAGAAGCGCCGACATCAAACAAAAAAAATTGGCTTACATCACTCAAGGAGTTCTAATTTATAGTCATGTTATCATTGACCTGTTTTATATTTGATTATGACTACCCTAAAAAATTAAGTGGACTTCTAATTTTGGTTTTTTTTTTTTATCATTCAACCGCCAAAAAATTGACATTTTGTTCAAATGTCTTAAATATTTGGCACTTATCATTATTTATCAACCAAATACAATTATTTATTTTGTAATATTTTGTTGGTATTTTTATAGTATTTTTTTTTTTTAATTTCCTATATGATCTATAGTACAAAATACATAATTATTTTAAAAAATAAAACCATTATATGTCTTAATTTGAAGACAGTGATTTGTAGTGATGAAGATTCTATTGATAGAAAAACACAAACGATGTATATAAAGAATTGTTTAACAATATTTAGTTATTTTTTTTAGAACATTTTCCCAATAATTATATTATGATTTATACTATTGTTTATATCTTTTTATTATGTTTTTGTTCTATTATAATGCTTCCGTGCAAATACACGGGTTAAAAACTAGTTAAGTTAACTGTTATGTGGCCGTCCCGCTCC